AACAGGTTTTGTTTTTGTGTTCAGTTTTATTTTTTTTTCTTTTGTTAACTCCTTCAATTGAAATTGGAGGTGAGACACGACAGCAAAAAAAATAAAAAATAAAGCCCATTTACATTTATGGCAGATTCTTCAACCTCGACCGCGCGTGCCAAACTTGCTGGACACCGTGCTGGTGGTTGTCCCAAGTGTTCTCATTGCGGTCGACTAGTTCATTTTGCCTCTACTTGCTTTGTTATTATTGGATATCCGAAATGGTTCGGTTCCAGTGGTGGACACAGTTGTAATTCTGGTGGTGGCCTCCGTGGTGGAGCTCGCGGCGAGAGTGGTGCTCTTGCGAATGCAGTGTTCTCCAGTGGTATAGGTGATTCATTTGTTGCCGGTTCTATTGGTTTTTCTACTGCTAGTAGAGTTTTGAGTTATTCTGATTGTCTTGCACTTGGCGGTTTAACCAATGAGCAATGGGCTCACTTTGTGTTTTTGGTTATTTCCGTTATACAAAATAATCCCTTGTCTGCTAAGCGTGGTTTAGTTGATTGGATGTAAGACTGTGGGGCAACAAATCATATGACAGGGTTCCTGAAGATTATTTCCGATGTTCGGGATATTCCCGTTCGTCCTGTTCAATTACCTAATGGTTCTTTGACTATGGCTAGCAAGGCTGGGACTGTTTATTTGGGATCTCATATCACTCTTTATGATGTTCTATACGTTCCTAGCCTTCGATGCAGGGATTGACATCGTAGGACCCTTGCCTCAGGCGATGGACCAGTCAAAGTTCTTAATTGTGGCAGTAGATTACTTCTCCAAGTGGATTGAAGCTGAGCCATAGGCGACGATTACGGAAGAAAGAGTGATAAAATTTCTCTTAGCAATATCGGCTGCCGATACGGTATCCCACAAATGCTTATATTCGATAACGGCACTCAGTTTAGAGGTCGGCGTACTATGAGTTGGTGCGAGGAGATGGGCATCAAACAACAGTTCGCCTCGGTAGCTCACCCCCAAGCGAATGGGCAGATCGAGGTCGCAAACAAATCAATTTTAAATGAGTTGAAGGCTAGGTTGGAAAGGGCTTCAGGAGCTTGGGTGGACGAACTTTATTCAGTCCTTCAGTCATATCTGACAACGCCGAGGGCCTCAACGGGGGAAATGCCATTCAATTTGGTTTATAGCATATAGGTCGTCATCCCGGTTGAGGTCGGCCTTAACTCAGAAAGAAATAGCACCTATAGGATGAAAGGAATGCGGAACTCCGCAGGGAGGCACTTGATTTGGTGGATGGGCTGCGTGACCAGGCGGGATTGAGGACGGTGGCTAACAAGCAGCGGATGAGGGCTGCCCATGACAAGTCATTTCGAGCTAGGCAATTCTAGGTCAGGGATCTTGTTTGGCATCAGGCGGATGCCTTGAAGCATATGAGGAAGTTTGAGCCCAAGTGGGAAGGACCTTATAATGTCGAAAGGGTATTTGCTGGAGGTGCCTATGAGCTTCATGATGCGGCGGGGCGGCTGTTGCCACGACCTTGGAACATATTACATTTGAAGAAGTATTATGCCTAGCTGGAGAAATGATATTTTGAATTCCTTTCGTTTGTATTATGTTTCAACAAGACCAGTAATAAGATCGAATTTGAAGTTTTAACAGCTTGATTCTCCTCTTGTTTAGAATATGTGAGCATGTGCCTGTTGATTGTTATAGGGCGAAAGCCTGTTAGTCTTGCTTAAGCTCGCGGAGCTAGGCGATGACCTCTGTAGGGCGAAAGCCTGTTAGTTAAGCTCGCGGATCTAGGCGACGACCTTTGTAGAGCAAAAGCCTGTTAGTCTCGCTTAAGCTCGCAGAGCTAGGCGACGACCTTTGCAGGGTAAAAGCCTATTAGTCTCGCTTAAGCTCGCGAAGCTAGGCGACGACCTTTGTAGGACGAAAACCTGTTAGTCTCACTTAAGCTCGCGAAGCTAGGCGACGACCTTTGTGGGGCGAAAGCACGTTGATTCATTATGCTCACACCCTCCCCACTAACCATTTTTCAGGTGATGGAGTCCCGCGTGCCACGGGAGCTGGATGTGGTGGTGGTCATAAGCGAGGATATTTTTTATATAAACATGTCATGTATTACTTGAGCATGTTTGGATTACTTATGGTTTAATTGTTGCCTGCTTGTGTTGTTTGAACTTATATTTGCTTCCACATTCGGAACAATATTCAGAATTCAGTTTATGCATGCCTAATTCTAATAATGTTCATGGCGCCTATTAGAGTAATGAATTTTACTTGGCTGCATGCATAATAGTAAAAGAGAAAAGGGAAAGAGATTAGATTATGTTGAGTAGCATCCCGCAGTTAGAAAAGTATTTTTGAAAAAGTTAATATGAGTTTCTGAAAATTAAATCAGTGTTTCCAAATTTATTATAAAGCGCGAAAAATTTACTCTGATTTTTAGTAATAGTAGGCGGGGTGTTACAAATACTGGCCCGGCCCCAGTAGTATTACAGCCGACCATATTCTTCCTCAAAGCCTTTACTAATTGTTGGCGACCCATCTCGGTTCCCCTTTGTTTCTTGCTTTTATCGGTTTTCGTTCGGAGATCTGTATTTGAAAATCGACGTCGATAATCTTGAGCGTCCTGAACTGATCAGAACCCGAGGTAACTGAGTAACGTATAATATACTGCAAAGATAAAAATAGATAGTAATCAGATCAGGTACTAATCGAGCTTGAATAGAAAGTCAGCAGTACCAATAGTCAACTTTCTATACTTGGATCAAAAGAAGAATTTAGTACGCCCGGAGTCAGACCAGCCGGTTCCAGTTTAGAATCTTTCACAAGACGCCGATAGCCAGAGAAAATTCAACATTAAGCAGAGATTTACAATATTCAGAAGTGATATGAGTAGGAATAGTCATCCTTTCTATTAAGGGATCACGAAAAAAAATCAGAAGATTGTCAATCTCCTCCAACCCACAACCACTCCTTCTGGAAACCATGGAGCGTATCGTGGATATCGGTTATTAAATCACCGACTTTAAGTCCCTATTGGGTTTTGCCAGCACAGAAAAAACAACACGACGTCGGCACATCCTCTCTAATCCGACTTTTCTTAAACGAGTACAGACTCCTCATATCATCTATCGATGGAAAATCCCAACCCTTCTCGTTCAACAACACCATCAATCCGATGATTCTTTTCCATCTATTTGGCGCAATATGAAAAAACTCAGCCCCCAATCGCGAAGATAATCAGTTATCATGTTGAGGAGAGGAAACCTCAACCCCGACCTCAAGCTTTCGGCAAAAATTCTGATACAATCAGGAGGAGGGCAAGTGATCCTTTCTCCCGGGTACAACGCGAAAAGTTTTACAGACGGAGGAACACGGATATGCTCTCGAAGTGCAACCACATCTGCATCCGTCAGAATACTCGGCTCTCTCAGGAAATCCGTCGGCATTTGGCCATTGACGTGCAAACCACCTCCAATAATCCTTCAAAACCTTTCTACCTCTTTCCACTTTGAGATCACCTTCAATGTTGTTCCTTTTGATGTCAAGACGCTCGACAAAAACCGAATCCCACCGATAATACTCACTCACCAATTCCAAATCATATGACTCCTCGAAAATTGTCCTCCTACTGCTAAACACCACTTGTTCCCCGTTCGAAGATGCCATTTTGGTCGAGGAGTTGAAGATTTTCAACTTAAAAGAGCAAAAATACAAAAATTTAAAACAAACACTTACCCAAGAATCAGAACCCTAGACGGAGAAATCGAAGAACTCCATTTGTCGCACTTGGTCGCGTGAAGAAAGCAAAGAAGATTCGAAAATTTGAGAGCTCAGAAATCGCAAAAGTAAGACCCTTCAAAGTCGAAAGATCAGATGAAACATGGATTAAAATTGATAAGCGGTGAACTCGGCTCAGACCGAATGGAAAACCGACTTAGTCCCATGGTGACCGATGTCAAGAAAAACCGAGATCCTATACGAGCCTGAGATCAAAACCGATGGCAAGACGCCTACACGTCCAATTGCCCAAGCCGTCTGTCACACGTGCCACAATCAAGACCTGCGGACCCACCTGCAGAGCAACCGCCATCGTAAAGTCACTTTGCATTAAATGATGCCGTACCACTATAAATAGTAGAACTTACTCTTGTACGAGGATCCTGTTTTTTGAGGACATAAAATTCAGGCATTAAAATCAACTTGGTTTTACTAAAAACCGACGTCCTTTAATGAGAATTCATCTTACGATAATACAAAACAACGCTAATTTCTTGCATTTAATGTTCTAAACTCTTGTTTTTATCGTTGTTAGTTCTTATATAACAACAGTTGGTAAAAGACTAGAGTTTTCCCACATACGGCACCAATTGATTTGTAAATTTATCATGGACCGAGTTAAATCGGAATACCACGAACAAACGTAGACTTCAAGCACCAGTAACCTGCAAAATGCCGGGAGAGGGTCTCGATGGAAAAACTCGGACGTTCAAGTCAGTATTTTGCTCGTGAGTAAACTAGATAATATATGCTTAAGTGCCTTGATGCCCAATAGAGTCCTAGCAGGAAAAGAAATCAACTAATATCCACTTTCCTTCCTTACCACGTCTCTCGAATCTGATACTCCTTAGTAAGATACATTTTATGTACTTAAAGGATTCTATCTCCTCTTACCATACGGCTCTTAGGTTTCTTAGGTCGTTTTTATGACCTCACCACCTACTTGCCATAAGCTGCAATTAGGTCATAACCGCGACCTTCATCCTCGCGACCTCCAGTTTGTGAGGTCTCCTCATGTTTCCGAGCTCTTGAGATTCTCCGAACTTTGTGATCTCTGACTGAACCATCTTGTACCTCGAGCTCGCCTAAGCGAGCTCATTGACAAGGTCGTGTACTGAGGACGAGCTAAGCTTTTTTTGAACCGATTATATCCGAGCTAACCACTCAGACGAGTTCACCGAGTTATTTTAAGTGCTAATATCAGGACCAATGTCTTCAACAATACAAACTTCTTCAGTTCCATATTTAAATTGTAGGGATTTCCCTCTTCAACCAAAATCCATGATGAGTATTATAAATCGGGTAACCACTCGCAGGCCAAGTTTGATACCACCGTTCTTGGGTTGCACTTCTATCCGAATATGCTTTTTTTAGAAAGATGAGCCGTAGACACCGATTTTCCTGGAAATATA